ACACACACACACACACACACACACACACACACACACACACACACACACACACACACACACACACACACACACACACACACACACACACACACACACACACGCGCGCGCGCGCGCGCGCGAACGCTGTTTATGCAACCCCATGTTTCTCGCGCTCACACGGTATGACCATTCTTGCCATGACATCAGATGGTGCGGGAGATGGATGGAATGGACATTGGGAACGACGACGACGACGACGACGACGGTGCTGCTGATGCCGCCGCACAACAAGAAGGAGAACAGCAGCAGCAGCCACAACAGATGCCCATGCAGTGATGCTGGTTGAGCCCAACCCCCTGTCCTTACCCTCAATGGCCCGGAGCTGCCACCTCCTGTTCCCTCCTGTCTCCTTATACGCGCTGCGTGTATGTGTGTGTGTATATGTGTGTTTACATCTCCCTCTGGTATTCTCGTTGACCTTTGCTCGGGTCCTCACTGTCACCGTGGTTGTCTGATTCGCGTGCCGAGTGTTTGTTCATTGTTCATCAGCGAGAGTCACGCGCTCCTTGCCACTGGTTCGAGTCGTGGTGTGGTCTCTCGAGTGCGTGTTCTGTGTTGTTGCGCTCCGCTTTGATTGTTTCAGTCGATTATTCATTCGCAATACAAACCCTCCTAATGCGCCAGGCCAAAGACACTCGAATGCCACGCATGAGCACAAGACCAAACAAACAAACAAACAAACAAACAAACAAACAAACAAACAAACAAACAAACACAGCACAGACACGCACACAAACACAGACAGACACACAGACACACAGACACACACACACACACACACACAGACACACCATGCCTCCTCAATCATTTGCGCCGCTTGGCCCGCTTGCTTCGCTGTCCGCTTGTGCTCGCCCGCCGCTGACTAGTTCGTCGAGCCTTGGCCTGGCGAGTGCTCCGTCTTCGCGTGCCAACTCCAAGACCAGCCACCGCTTCACCATCAGCCGCCTCCCCCTGTTCCTCATCCCCGCCTTCATCGTGCGCACCATCACCATCGCCATCATCACCATTACCACCGCGAGTGCTGTTGCGGGTTGATCGACGGCGTGTGCTTCGGCGCCCGCCCTCTGCCTCCACCACTGTTCCTGCTTCCGCCTGCGACGTCGACCGCCTCCCCGCTGCCGTTTGGCGCCGGGATCGTCGTGGCCGCGCCTTTCTCTCCTCCGCATCGGCACCGGCGTCGTCATCTTCCTTGTCAACTCCATGCTGCGTGTCATTCTGCGTCCTCCGAGCTCGTGTATTCCTCGTACGCACACCACGCTGCTGTTCCTCTTGGTTGTCGCCCTTGTCGGTATTCCCTCCCGCTCTTCCTTCCCCTTCTTCCGCTGCGCCGTTGTTCTCGCCGGTCACCCCACCTTCAGCCTTGCTTGGGCTCTCCTCCTCATCATGCTCCTCCTCCTCCTCCTCCTCATCATCATCATCATCACCATCGTCGTCGTCGTCCTCCTCCTCCTCGTCTTCTTCATCGTCATCCTCCTCCTCATCATCATCCTCATCATCATCCTCTTCTTCTTCGTCGTCATCGTCATCGTCATCATCCCCACCTTGCTCAACTTGGTTGGCTTCACCTGCCAGTCGCTGCAGAAGCATCGCCGACGCCGCTTGTGCCCGCTGTCGCATCAGCGCCTCGCGGCTCAGACCATGCCCGCTCGACTGCCCGGCTGATTTCACCGCCGCACTTGGCGTTTCGCGAGTGCTTGTATTGGCAGCGCTGCTCTCGCTCCCAGATGCCGACTGATGTGTGCCTGCCTTGTGCTGCCCAGCAGCGGGCTTGTCGACAGCCGTGCTGCCGTCTGCGGTTGTTGTGGCGCCCTCCAAGGCAGGGGCTGCCGGTCGCGCGGGTTTGGAGTCGTCGTCAGGTGTTGCGGACGCCGGTGTTGTGTTCTGTCTTGTGGAGGGCATAGGAGAGCCCTCTCTTGCTGTTGGAGTTGAGAGTGTCTTGCTCGCCTGCTGCTTGGCGAGTGCCTGGCGCTTGGCTTGCTTCTCTTCCAGATCGGCCTTGAATGCAGCCATGGCTTCGTCCAAATAGCCCTGTGACCAGCAACAAGTGCAGAACAAGGCTCATTAGTGGCGCATTCATACAAAGCGGTGAGCACACGGCACGTAAACGCAAACGCAGCTTGACATGCAGAAGACAACAGCACACTCGCATGCGTGAACCTCGAGCAAGCCATGGATTTTGTCCGTGTTTAAAGCACCCTCAACAGCCTTGCGCACAGCGGGCTCAAACACGGATCTACGCGAGGCCGTGCAGCGATTGCGACGGCAGTGCAATGAACATGCAGGCAGCGCGGTTAATACACGGGCGACTACAACACCAGCAAAAGTGGTTCGACATCAAACTTGTGCAGGAACGCATACACACAATTATGAACGACCACACCGCGCTTTCGCAAGACATACTGAAGCCAAAGATATGTGTGTAGCTACACGCAGAAGTGTGCACATACACAAAAACATCAACAACAGCACACACGCGCACATGAACACACACACACCTGTCGACATGACGCAGGACAGAGGCTAGCAGTTGCTGTTGGCTGGTCCCTGCACTTGACAATAGCGCAAATTGTCTCTGGACTTCAGCTTTGGCCTTCTCTTCGGCTTCTCGCAGCAACCCCTGCTTTCCGCCATGCATTCGTTCCAAGGAAACGCCAACCCAGACATAACGTCAGCAGCGAGAAACAAAGACCACCACACACGACAGACGAAAAGGCTGCGGAGAAGGGGGGGGGAAGAAAGCCAGACCACAAGCACACATGCAAGCGTGCTGCATCCAGCGTTACATTGCACACACGTACTTCGCACCTTCTCTGCTATGACGTCCTGCAGCTCATCCTGCAGGCGCTTGTATGCACCGGACGAGCTCAAGTGCTGCACCAACCCATCCACAACGCGAGCCATCGTGTCTTCGCCAGACGTCTTGTTGCGGATAATTATCCAGCACGTTCATAATTGTCATCATCCACAACGACCACAACAGCCAACAACACAACATCGATCATGTCCACGGTGGAGGAACTGCAGACGCTGCTGAATGGGGATGGAGCCGTGCTCATGCCGAGCCGAAGCAAGGACGAGGTGAGTGAGAGAACCTTGGAAAGAAAACGAACCCATTTGTCGTTTGAAAAGTAGAGCAGAGTGGCGTGTGCGTGCGTGTGTGTGTGTGTGTGTGTGTGGCGTGCGTCGAACAACCATGTCAACCAAAGTGCCGTCACCACCAAACAAGAGAAGATGACACACCTTCCGTGACGTGTATTGTGTTGACCATCCCAATCACCAAATCTCCTGCGTGCTGCCCCATCATGTTCAGGTGTGGCCAAGGTTGTGGGTGTCTGAAGCTGGCCCAGCAAAGGATCCTGCCGGGCTGAAGGAAAGCGGGTTCACCCACGTGCTCAACTGTAGCCAAGGCACAGGCTTTGGGCGATTGAACACCGATGACAGCTTCTACTCCCAACACGGACTCAGCTTCCATGGCCTCTCTGTCGCAGACAGCGCCCGCAGCAACCTCATGGTGTTCTTTGAGGAAGCATGCGCCTTCATTCATGATTCCATGTCAAGAGATGACGGCGTGGTGCTTGTCCACTGCATGGAAGGCTTCAGTCGAAGCCCGAGCATCGCCGCCGCCTACCTCATCAAGCACCACAACATGACAGCTGCCGAAGCACTCACACACATTCGAGCAAAGCGAGAGGTGTTCCCAAATGAAGGTTTTCTCAAGCAACTCTTGCAATGGCAGGAAACCATCCAACAAGCGTCGTCTGAAAAGGACAGCGCATGATGTGACTTCCGCCACGCCGTTTCCCTGTTTGTTTGCGTTGTGATTCTCTGAACCACCAGTCACATGGTGCACCGCTTGCGCTTCTTCCAACCCCCCCCCTCTTAACCTCAAAAGCAAGCTCTGCACTGCTTTCATCAATGGCTTTCTGGTCAGTATTCTGTTGAATAAACGAACGAAACAGCGTACACATGTTGGCTAAGCTCGATGAAGGACGATGAAACGAAACAAAACAAAAGCAGAACAGAACACAAGACACACACACACGCACGCACGCACAAGATGAGGTCACATCACAACACTTCGCAACCATGCCAGAACAGTTCAAACAGGACACGGAGACGTTCGTCCGCGACAACAAAAACGTGGAAGACGTTAGCGGGACGATGTCTTGGAGTTTGCCGTGAGGCGTTTTGGAGGGGTGTCGTTGAAAACAACACGATGCTCGACGGACCGCTGAGACGATCCGTGAGCGGAAGCACCAGAAGGAGTAGAAGAAGATGCCTGTGCAGAACGGCTTGTGATGGTAGACGTGGACACGTGTGAAGTGTGAGAAGCAGCGTTCGAAGATATCGCGGCCTCCATGGACGCAGCTGCCTTGCACCCAGCCTCAAACTTGGCCCGGAAATCAGCAAGCGCCTCGCTCGACTTGAGCCGCAGCGCAAACTTGTGCAGGCCAACATCCTCGTCGTCGCTGTGGTCGTACGCAACCCACGTCACGCAGTTGTTCGTCTGCGGCATCGCGTGCAGCTGCATCTCCCCCGTCAGCCAGTGGTTCGCAGCTACACGCTGCACCTGGTCGCGCCACATGGCAAGCCGCACCCGCTTCGTCGCCGGGTCCTCAAGCAGCTTCACCGTCCCCACACCGCGCTCCTTCCACTGCATCCCTTCGTTGCCCTTGCCCCACCGGTACAGCTTGCACCGGCCCTCAAACACAACGTTCTGCCCTTCCTCGCCAGTCACCTTCTTCACCTCAGAGGCATCAGGCAGCTTCACAATCGCCTCAAACTTGCTGCTTGCGCCGCCCTCAGCCTCCTCGCTGGCGCCCTCTTCCTCAGCCTCACCGGCCTTCTCCGCCGCCTCCTTCTCCTTGCTTCCGCCAAACAGCGTCGTGCCCTTGTTCTGCCCGCTGCCAAAGCTGAAGCCCTTGAACTGGAACCCGCCGCTCGGCTTGCTTCCCGCCTCGCTGCCCTTGGCACCAGCATCGGACTCCTTGCCAGACTCCTTGCCAGCGTCCTTGCCCTTGCCAGCGAGCGCGCCAAACGTCAGCTTGCCGCCCTGCCCAAACACTGGGATTTGGTTGCCATGGGTGTTGCCATGTCCATGTTGGTGAATAGTTGCGGGCTGAGTGCGGTTGCGCTGCTCATGCTGCACAGCCGTTGTCGCCTCAACGTCAATGACTTGCTGATCGTTGTGTTTCACGATGAAAAATCCTTTCGGCAACATAAGCCGGTCTGCTTTGTCGACGAGATGTTCGGGAACGGTTGGTTCTCCAAGTTGCCAGCGTCCTTGCCCTTGGCAGCGAGCGCGCCAAACGTCAGCTTGCCGCCCTGCCCAAACCCGCCAAACCCTGGCTTCCCGCCAGCAGGCGAGCTCGTCGCAGATGCAGTCGCAGATGCAGTCGCGCTCGTAAGAACCTGAAAAGTCGTTGAAGGAGACAACGGAGGCTGCAAGCGTCTGCTTCGCCGCACTCCCGCCAAACGAAAACGCAGGCTTGCTCTCCCCGTCCTTCTTCTGGAACGGGAATCGCGGCCCGCTCGCCTTCTCGGCGTCAGCCTTGCCCTGCGTCTTCTCATCGGCAACCTTCTCAGCTGCCTTCGTGGTCGCCGTTGCCGTCGACGTGCTCGTCGTTGCCTTCGCCGCAGGCGCTGCTTCCGCGGTCGTGGTCGTGGTCGTGCCATCGTCCCCATGCAACGCAGCTGCCTTGCACCCAGCCTCAAACTTGGCCCGGAAATCAGCAAGCGCCTCGCTCGACTTGAGCCGCAGCGCAAACTTGTGCAGGCCAACATCCTCGTCGTCGCTGTGGTCGTACGCAACCCACGTCACGCAGTTGTTCGTCTGCGGCATCGCGTGCAGCTGCATCTCCCCCGTCAGCCAGTGGTTCGCAGCTACACGCTGCACCTGGTCGCGCCACATGGCAAGCCGCACCCGCTTCGTCGCCGGGTCCTCAAGCAGCTTCACCGTCCCCACGCCGCGCTCCTTCCACTGCATCCCTTCGTTGCCCTTGCCCCACCGGTACAGCTTGCACCGGCCCTCAAACACAACGTTCTGCCCTTCCTCGCCAGTCACCTTCTTCACCTCAGAGGCATCAGGCAGCTTCACAATCGCCTCAAACTTGCTGCTTGCGCCGCCCTCAGCCTCCTCGCTGGCGCCCTCTTCCTCAGCCTCACCGGCCTTCTCCGCCGCCTCCTTCTCCTTGCTTCCGCCAAACAGCGTCGTGCCCTTGTTCTGCCCGCTGCCAAAGCTGAAGCCCTTGAACTGGAACCCGCCGCTCGGCTTGCTTCCCGCCTCGCTGCCCTTGGCACCAGCATCGGACTCCTTGCCAGACTCCTTGCCAGCGTCCTTGCCCTTGGTAGCGAGCGCGCCAAACGTCAGCTTGCCGCCCTGCCCAAACCCGCCGAACCCTGGCTTCCCGCCAGCAGGCGAGCTGGTAGCCATGTTGGATTGCTGACGCGCAGCGGAAGATGTGGCAGGTGATGCGGGTTCTGGCTTCTTCGCCTGCGTTGGATTTTGGACCGGAATGTGTGCTGGTCCGGTTGGCACGGCTGTCGGAGCACTTTCACTGCCACTTGTTGGTTTACCCAATTCTTTGGGCACCGCCGCTGTTGCAGGTGCTGCTTCTGGCTCCAGCATATCTGCTGTGGTTGGGGCGCCAGCAAGAATGGAAGTCCAAGCTGCGGCAATGTGGATTCTGTAAGGGTTGTGTGAAGCTGCACTAGGGGGCGTGACGGGTCGTTGCAGGATTGCCTCGTGCAAGTTTGCTGTTGCAGATGAGCTTGCTTGGGAAGCTGCAGTGTCGTTCTGATTCGTGCCAACTGTCAGCTTGTGCCATTGCTTCTCGAGATCATCCACGTTGCTGGCAGCCAGCGCCTTGAGCAGATCCTTCTTTTTTCTGATCATCTGTCGTTTTGCATCAATTTGGTTCTGGTAGCAAGCGAAGGACGCATCACCGCCGCCGCGCAGACTGGTCAGCGCCTCGTTAACGCTGTCGTCACTGGAGTTGAGGTCAAGGCCTCGCTGAGCATAGCTTTGCGCCAAGTCTTGACGCCCCTGTTCCATGGTGTGTGCGCGCACCCAAGCGTTAGTGCGGAATAAAATATCAGGGAAACAATCTACCAAATGGTCCCGAAAATTGTGTTTGCATCAAGCTGGTATTTTGTATTTTCGGCTGATTGTGATTGTGATTGTGCTTGTGATCTGTGTGTGCGCGGGGGTAAGTGTGGCTTGAACGGACCTGTCGGCTGTATGTGATGGCAACCTTTGCGAGGAGGAGAGCGTGCAGGTTGTCATCCATGCGAAGAGGGCTCTGCTCGAAGCGCTTCAGGCACTGCACGGGCCGCTGAGCCTGGTCCAGCAGCTGAACAGCAATGCCATGCAGATACGGCTGCGCCGCGTCAATGGGCTCGCCATCTGCCCCGAACAGCCGCAATTGACGTGCTCCGCCTACACACACACACGCAAGCAACATCCATTCGTGAAGGAGAAAGAATTGCGATATGTCCACAAGGCTCGACGAGGCCATAGCACACACACACTCTCTCTCATGGAACGCATGGAACACGGGGTAGGAGTGTTGTGTGAACTTTCCGCACTGTGTGGAATATGGCAACCGACCTGACTCAATGTAATCTTCGAGGTCGTAGCCGCTGTCGAAGACAGCGTCGAGGAAGCGCTCCAGACGCGCGTGGGGAGGAGCGTCGCGTGCCTGTGTTGATGTGTGCGGGTCGGGCAAGCGCAACCACCGTGAACGTGCCACGTGAGCCATCGCAGTGGAGCCAACAGCAAGGAAGAGGCGCGCTCAAGACCATACTTGCTTGCGCGATGGATGCATGCATCAAGCACGAGCAGGACCACATATTGATTGATCTTGCCTGAGCGTGCGACCACAGCAAATGGATTAGGGGCCCAGCGTGCTTGCTGACGGGCTTGGGAATTGAACTTCCCCGCAGCTCAGCGATGCATGCATCCACAGCCGAAGCCTGTGCCCACGAAACCAGGCAGGCAGAGGAAACAAACGCAGGTCAGTGAGACCAAGCTGGTGGCGTGGGGCAGGCACGTGCGCAGACACAGTGTCAGCAAGATGTTGACTGTCCAAACGCCGAGAAACGCACCTCCAAAGGCGAGGTTGTGGTGGTGCACGCCTTCCAGCAGTCGAGCTGTGTGCTGGACATGGGAATGACATCCTGTATGGGCACAAACAACGCATGTGAGCTGCAAGATCGGTGCAACAGCAGCGACAGCAGTGGAAGTGGTAGTCGGTCGTGGCATCAGCAAGCAACGACGGCAATGGAGTAGCTGCGACTTACTGGAAACAGTTTGGCTGAAGCTTTGGACGCCAGGGCCGTGAGAAAACAGAGTACGTCCAGCTGTGAAGCAGACCATAGGTGTGAAGCATAAGTAGCATGAGCCTCTCGTGTGGTCACAACGCACCACGCACTCATGCCCTCCTCAATGTGAGTGGGCATTCGAACGGAAGCAAGGGCTAAAGGGCACACAAGGCGCACCTGTGAAACGTCCGTGTCCTCGGTGTCGTCGTTGATGTGGGCGGCTGTGGGAACGAGAACAGGAACCCACTGTTTGGCCACGTCTGCATCGCTGTGTAAGACCGCAGCACAAGCGAAACAAGGTGAGCAGCGCTTTTCACGTCCACACGATTATGCCCAAACATGCGCACACACACACATAGAGCTTGTGCGAGGTGTGTCGGAGAGTCCTTGCGGCAGCAGTGCTTGTGTCTTGCTTACCTGAGGAGCAGGAAGGCGAGGGTGCGCGGGTCGCGAGCCAAAACAAGCAGTGTCTCTTCTGCCATGTTGTGCGCGGATGTGCCTGTCAGGAGCGTTGCTGGCGAGTCTGCGAGCGCAGCGTGCAGGGCGAGGTCGATGCTTGTGAAGCCAGCTGCGTCGAGTGCCGATTGTACCTGTGCAAGATCAACTCGCAGGCGGTGGTAGTCTGTGCTGTCGTGGGCGTGGGCATGCAGAATGGCAGCACAGACGCGAGACCTGCGCTCCTGCATCAGCAGCAACGCGTCGCGCGTCTCTGGGAAGAGGGCGGACGAGGTTGACGTGGCAATGTGCACACGTCCAGCCGCGGCGACCAGGCAGTGCAGCAGGGCGTGCGACAGCACTGTGTTGTTGTCTCCATCAGACAGAAGCACAGCAACAGCGTAGAGGACGTCGCGGGCGAGAGCGGCGCGGGTGTCGGCGGGCAGCGCTGGTGCGTTGTTTGTGATGCGGGAAATGCAGGCCTGCAGCTCTGCAGCGACGGCCGCGGCAGATGTGGCGGCTGTTGCTGTTGCCCACGAGAGATGGCGCAGGTCGGCGATGTTTGCCATGACAATGGCGTTGAGGTGCGCAGCATCCGCTTTGCTGGTTCTGCTGGCAATATCGGCCGCAGCTCGCTTGGCTGCCGTCCACCACGCACTCTACGCAGACAAACGACAGTCAAGAAGCGGCAGCACATGACGTGGCAGTGTGTGAGTGAGTGAGTGATTGATTGAGTGAGTGATTGAGTGAGTGAGTGAGTGAGTGAGTGAGTGAGTGAGTGAGTGAGTGAGTGAGTGAGTGAGTGTGGGAGGGGGACAAAGATGCTTCAGCACATGTAGGGGGTGAAGCATAGCGTTCCGGTGCGATGCATGTGTTGAAGGCATCCTGGTGCTGTTGTGCTGTGTTGTGGTGGGGTAGTTGAGCTGTGGTGTGTTGCTGTTGTGGGTTGCTGCTGTGTGTGGTTCAGTTCGCACCGTATCGAGGGGCGCGCTGGCCATGTGTCGCACGCAATCATCGTAGCCTGCAGAGCATGAAAGGAAACATGTGCATCGAATGCAGAGTGCAGAACATGAGATGTGGGCATCATGAGGCCAACCCCTCCCCTTCCAGCTTCCGATGTTTTAGGAAAAGGGCCCACGATGAACGTACGCTGCTGGCGAAGCAGGCGAGAGATGTGGCGAATGTGCAGGCGCAGTGCTGTGGGGACCTGCATGGCCAAACACGAGCGATGCGATGGCCACGGCGAGTACGGGGACAAGGAGGTGAGGTGAGCAAGGGAAATGAGCGGGTGTAAGGGGGAAGGGGAGCGAGGGAAATGAGCGCACACAGCCCAGAGATCAAACAATCAACGCAATGACGGGACACTTTGAAGCAACACGTGCCTTCTGGATGAGCTGCGCCAGGAATGCGTTGCCGTCATCTGAGCTTGGAAGCGCCTCGACAAGTTTGAGGGCCTTGTCAAGCAGCGCCGTTGCCTCGGAGGGCAAAAGGTGTTCTTTCAGGCCCTCGACGGTGGCGTCCTGAACAAAGCAACAGGTCAACGGAAACTTAGCATGAGGGCGTGTGCACTTGGCGAGCCAACGACGAAAGCGAGCACAGGTGGCAAGCGACTGGCGTGGCGACTGTGGGAGCATGGGAAAAGTCATCAAGGGGGGGGGGGGCAAGGCGTGTGCGTGTGGATTGGTGCTGCGCAAACACAATAATGGCGAAGGCATGAACCTTGGCAGCTGCAAGAACGCCTTGGTCTGCGGCGAACTCTTCTGTGGCCAATGAAACCTACGCAGGGTGAGGCGGGGGTGTGCAGGTGACGAGATGCATGGAGAGGGAATGTGAGCACACGTCGGCTCACGCCATTCGTTTACAGCGACGCACAGACAAAGCGCTTCCAAGTTGGGTTGTAAGCGCGAAGAGCAAGCGATAGGGACAACCATGCACGCACATACGTAAACATAGCACGTGTGCAGATACAGTGCACACACATACACAAAGAAACAAAGAAACACACACACACACACACATACCCGAGCATCCACGAGTCCGAGTAGGGCGGCTTTGCGCATAGGCGTCATCTTCAACCTACACGACACACCATTCAAAGCATTCGAGGCAGTGCCGCGTGCGGACAGCAGCGTGGTTATGAATGAGAGTTAAGAATGTGGGTGACACGACCTGAGTCAAGGGCTGTCCGCAAGCTGTAGGGACATGCGCAACAGGCGGGAGGTGTGACGAGGGTGTGCGTGCGTGTGTGCGTGTGTGCGCGCGTGTGTGTGTGTGTGTGTGTGTGTGTGTGTGTGTGTGTGTGTGTGTGTGTGCGTGTGTGTGTGTGTGTGTGTGTGATGTAACGAGGGCGCGCGAACCTGTCGAAGATTTGAACTGCCTCTGCAAAGCGGTGCTGCCGAAGCAGCCTTTGGGCTTCATGGAGCGACTTGTGCGCGTCCATGGCCACAAGACACTAGCGAGCACGGTTTGGTGGCTTGGCCGTGTGGAGTGGTCCTTGCGTGCGTGTGTGTGTGTTCGCTGGAGAGTCAAGCAGCAGTGACAAACGTGAGCGGCAGTGGCATGTGACAGACTGCAAATGCTACAATGCGATTGCAAGGAGGAATGAGTGAGTCATCGACTTTGTGCGTCGTCGAGACCACCCACATCACATTCCACACCACACCACACGATGCAGTACCTCGTCGCGCACAGCCCCCAAGACAAAGAAAAGCAACACACACGCACACCAAGCAGCCAGTGTCTCGTTCGCACGTTGTCTTTGTCGCCGTCGAGTCTTCTTTTCGGCTGATGTGACGGTTTCTCCTTCCGACTGTGGGCGACTAATGCGCACGGCCACAGCACAGAAAAGTGTGCGAAACATACACGATCCACCGCACAAATCATATGCTGTTGCGACCTGTGCAGAGATGCGGACGGGGATGACGAGAAGGTTGTTGTTGTGGTGGTGTGTGTTGCTGGTTGTGTTGAGTGGTGGTGGCCCGACACAGGCCACCAACTCCACCACGACCACGACCACGACCACGACAACACCAGCAATGAACAACAGTACGTCAGCATCACCAATGAACAGTACTATGAGTGCGCCAACCACGCTCAACGGCACGACTACATCGACCGTTGCAAGCGTTACAAATGTGACAAATGCCACCATGAATGTGTCAGCGCCAACCACGACCGGCACAACAGCCACAAGTGCAACGAGTGCTGTAAACGCAAGCACATTTGCCACGACAACAACAACAACAACAACAACAACAACAACAACGACGACGACGACGACGACGAGGGGTGGTGACGGTGTGCCGGCTGGGACTGCAGGTGCAACAGCTTCTCTTCCCTTCAACCCCAACAACCCATGCGTCCCTTGCGAGCTTCTGTGCGTGCCTCAGAGACGCCATTTCCATTGCCCGCGTGTGTGTACACGTATGTGTATGCGCGCGCGCGCGCGTGTGTGTGTGTGTGTGTGTGTGTGTGTGTGCGTGCACGTGAATGTATGTTTGAGCGCGCTTCTGTTGGTGTGGCTGTTTATCTGCGTTTCGCCTCACCTCATCCCCCCTTGCTATGGGCCGCAATGGACAGGCCGGACGAGTTCCTGGACTGCGATCGACCGGGCAAAGAAACGAAATGCAAGGTGCAGCAAGCAATGAGCTGCCGTGTGGAAAGTGCCGCGATGTTGAATGCACTTGTTGCACCTGCATTGTCGACACACATGCGCATGGTCTCAAGCATACTCCTCGTACCTGCTCCCCGTTGCATATTTGTTAGTTTGGTGCGACATCAATGGCAAATCTCAAGTACACTAACGTGACATGCCGTGTCCTACCTAACATCGAGTGTTTTGGTGAGTCATTGCGCCGACCTCTCTCAGTGTGTGTGTGTGTGTGTCTTTGCGGCTGCCTGTGTGCGTCTTCGTCTGTGAATTCGCGCGTCTGTGTCTGTGAGGGTGAGTTTGGCTTGCGTGAATCCATCCGTTGGCACGTGCCCTGCACTGACATCCCTCGTGAGTGTGACTGCCCACTGCGTCAACGTCAACACCACCGCTGCCATTGTGGCACCAATCAACAAACTGTGTCTCGTAGGCCCTGCACCCTTGGATCAGTGTACGCGATCGTCCAATGCAACCGCGCGCACATTTGTTCGCCACTCTGTGCCCTGCATCAAGTACACGGGCCATTACTTCCTCACCACCCTCCTCCTCAGCATATTCCTCGGGTACTGTGACTCCATGTGACTGTGTGTGTGTGTGTGTGTGTGTGTGTGTGTGTGTGTGTGTGTGTGTGTGTGTGTGTGTGTGTGTGTGTGTGTGTGTGTACGTTGCTTGCCCAGCTTGGAAGCCATGACTCATCACTCGTCACCTCTGTGCACGTGTGGGTGTGCTTTAACTGCTTGTTGAACAGGATCTGCGCTGCGGACCGCTTCTGTCTTGGCTACAAGTGTTCCGCCGCAGGCAAACTGCTCACCTTGGGTGCGACACATACACACACGCGCGCGCCTCTGCCCTGTACTCTGTGTGTATGACTGAGTATGGGTGTACAAGATATGCATCTTTCCAGAAGCTCTACCAACCCCAAATTACAAGCCGCTCACGCTTTGCACACACACACACACACACACACACACACACACACATACATATTCACCACGTGTGTGGTGGGCAGGCGGGCTTGGGTTTTGGTGGATTGTGGATATTGTGCTGCTGCTGACAGGAAATCTGCGCCCGTCTGACGGAAGCTCGTGGGAGCCGTACTTCTGATGGTGATGATGATGATGATGATGATGATGATGATGATGATGATGTTGTTGTTGTTGTTGTTGTTGTTTCTCGTTCTTCGTGTGTTCCCGCGTGCGTCTGAGCAACGGTGCGCGTGTGTGCAAGGCAACAGCAACATGCGGCGACGTTGCTGCGCCATGCTTGTAAATCTCTTTTGTTACATGACAGTTTCCTATCACACTTATTATTCCTTCGTGGGCCGTGTGTCGCCGCCAACAAGCCGAGTTCCGCACTTGTGTCCAGCAAACGCAGCGGCGCTCGCCCCAATTGTGTTACTTGCTCGGTTGCTTGTGATCACGCGTGTATTGGGTGTTGGCACGCGACAGAAGAAAAATGATACCAGTAAACGAACAATAGACATGACGCACAACGTGTGCATGCACTTGAAGGCATATGTGCGCACATGTGTAACGCGAACAGCAGTTGAAAGCAGAGTAACAGAAGCCGCAAACACCCAATGCTTCCAACACACACACGAACACAGAGGGTGAAAGCTGCTGTCTCACATCAGAACTGCGTCATGGTAAAGTGAAAAAAAAAAAAAAAACACAGACACACACATATACATCACACTTCAAACGCAAATGCGCAAATGCGTGGATGAAATGGGGCGGCAGAACATGTGTAGTGCGTTGGTGTTGGAAGAGGAGAAGTTGTGCAAAACGTGCTGTGCTTGGGCAATTGCCACCAACCAGCACCGTCACCACCACCACCTTGTCCGGCACAAGCGTGCACACGGAGACTGCAGGCGTGCCGCTCATCCAAACGCACAAGAGGCACGCCACAGTCACATCATCCCACAACATCGCCCGTGCAAGGGTGAGCAGCTACCACACATACACCCACGCGTACGAGGTGACGGTAGAGTTGGTGGGGTTGCCAACAACGTTACCGCCTGTCAGCGTGTAGCACTTGAGCCCCGTGGCCTTGTCGTCCATATCGCCGTTGCGCCACTGCAGCTTGAATCCGTCGGAGAAGGGGAGGGGATCCATCTCGTGGAAGCGGTAGGCAGACCACTTGACGCCCTCCGTCGTGTCAATGTGCGTAAACCCGCTCACGGGGAACCGGAACTGGCCTGTGCAGTGGTGTATGTGTGTGTGCGTGCGTGCGTGCGTGTGTGTGTGTGTGTGTGTGTGTGTGTGTGTGTGTGTGTGTGTGTGTGTGTGTGTGTGTGTGTGTGTGTGTGTGTGTGTGTGTGTGTGTGTTACGTGAGCGACACTGGTTGAATAACAAGGACTAGTCAACCCTCGAACGGTCTGGGCAAATGGTCATGTCACAAACACAACCCAACAACAGCACACGTTAGCACATTCACACATCAACACACTAAACACATTCACACATCAACACGTGTCAATGAAACAATAACTGCGCATCTTGCTTTGGTTGCTAACCCGCATGATCTTGTCCGAGTCGTCAATTTGAAAGTCAGGCTCACACTGCAGGCCAAGTGCTCCACACGTCGCCGCGCACGAGTCGCCTGTGGGCATGCAAGGCACCAGGCACACAAACACGAAGCATGGAGCAAACGCGCCAAAAAAAAAAAAAGGACAAGTGTTAATCTAACCCATACAAACAACAACAACAACAACTTAAACAACAACTTAAACAACTTAAACAACAACAACACCTTCGTTTAGCCTCAGCTGTTCAAACGAAGTGCCGCCCCGTCTGAGAGAACGCAATACCCTCTGTCACGTGTCTAACGCTGCTGCTTTGCTCGCCACCCTCTCCTCACCTTGCTGGCCCATGTAGTAGTTGCCAGCAGCAGCAGCAGCCGTGTGCACGGCCACCACCGCCACCAACACAACAACAACAACAACACCAACGCGCTCTTGCATCGTCTTCCTTGGTTGGCCCAGTAAACCACCGAGTGCTGAAAAGTGGTTGAAAATATCCACAAATCGTCCCAACTGCACTCGCACAGATGGAGAACGACTGCTGCATCTGCACACTACGTTGAACCTCGTCGCACACTGCACCCAACACACGATATGTTCGTTGGCGTGGCTGGGGTGTCGTCCCTGGTCCGTGAGGACCAAGTCCGGGAGCTGCTTGCCAAGTGCGGCAAAGTGGAGGAGCTGCGCGTGTACAGGGACAAGTAAGTATGCTGCTTCATTGCACGAGAGAAAAAGAGCAACTCAAGCAGAAAGGGGTATGTGCTTGCACTTGTGCACGTGCGTGTACTGTGCATGCGTACATGGGCGAGGGCGTTTGTTGTGACACTTTGTTTGCTCATGTACGCACTCACTGCTGAAACTACACTCGAACCTCCCCTCCCCCTTTTGACAGCACGGATCCAAGACAGCGGACAGTGTGTGTTAACTTTGAGAAGGAGGAAGACGGCATGGTGGCCCTCCATTTGACAGACAAGTTTCTCATTGACCGCCTCATCAAAGTGGAGCGTCTGGACAGTGAGTTTGAGCGCGTGCACGCTTGCTTGTGCTTATGTCCAAACGCCTTTGTTCCAGTCAATTTCATGTGTCACTGTGTAGCTGTGCATGCATCGTACTCTCCGCAGTCGACACGCAGTGTTCGTCTTTCTCTTGTTGTCCTTCGTCTTCTCCTTCATTCTCTTCTTTCTCTTTTCCTTTTCTACTTCTAGTCCCTCTTCCACATCTTCTAATGACTTGACACACACACTCGCTCACACACACACACACACACACTCACACACTCACACGCGCGCACGCGCGCGCACACGCGCGTCCTTGGCGTTCCCGGTGTCTTGTAGACTGGCCACGAGGGATTCAGGAAATTACCTTCCAGGGAGAGCCCGTGAGACGAGCACGTACGTACACTCCTCTATTGCTGCTATTGGTTTCTGTCGCTCTTCAAGACCTGTTTGATGAGCAATAACGTGTACGCCCGTACGGTTGAGCATGCGCTCCTTCGTCTCACCCTCCAACCGCGTTCTTTGTTCTCTGACATTCCCACCTCCACCCGCCCTTCCCCTCTGCGCTGTCCACGTCTATTTCCATAGCGCCGCCATCTGCACCGGTGCCTGCACCCAAACCAGCGGCCGCAGCAGCAGCAGCAGCAGCAGGCCGAGCACCACAGCAACAACAGCAGCAACAAGGGCAGCAGCAGCAGCAGCCAGCACCCGCCGCCTCAAAACCAGATGCTCCCGCTGCCACCAGCACCGCCACCAGCGCAGCAGCAACCGGCGCTTCTGCGCACACACCTGCTGCAAGCAAAGAAACCCCTGAGCCCTCGTGAGTTTCTGTGGCGTGTGGTGGCGCTCGTGGTGGTGCTTGGGGCAGCGACCTGCTGCTGTTGCTGTTGCTGTTGCTGTTGCTGTTGCTGTTGCTGTTGGTCCGCAGGACGATCACGCCCTCTTCTCTTGCACGTGCTGCTGTTGTCGTTGTGTGGATTAGTCTCACATTGCCCACTCTACCTCTGCCAACTCGCTGCTCGCTCTTGCGCGCGTGTGTCGACAGGCCAGAGGTGTATGTTGCGGATGTGCCCACCACTGTTGCCAAGCCCGACCTTATTCTCTTCTTCACGCGCGCCTGCGGGCCCGTTCGCACCATCGACGTTCGCGGTGACGCCGTGCACACGCCAAGGTCCGCCGAACTGCGAGAGAGATTGCGTTCCCTGTGTGCGTGCCGTGTGTGTGTGTGTGTGTGTGTGTGTGTGTGTATGTGTGTGTGTGTGTGTATGTTGTGTGTGTGTGTGTGTGTGTGTGTGTC